CCCCTCCCCCGCCCGGCCTCCGCAGCGCCAGCCCTTCCCGCCGGCTCCCGCGCCCTCCCTCTCTCGGCTAGTCGGGGGCCTGGCCGGACTCTTCGGGGGACTCTTATCTAGTGATGTGTAACCCACAGGATGCCCAACAGCATTGGAAAAAGGTTTAAACCCACGAAATACATCCCGGTCTCCACCGCCGCTGCCTTGCTGGTCGGATCCACCACTTTGTTCTTCGTCTTCACGTGAGTCGGAGGGACAAGCCGTGTGTGGACCGGGGGGTTGCCATGCAGCTGGCTGAGATGGGTCCGGGAGGCCCTTTTCTGGAAGGAGGGGGGTTTGGGGTGGGGGGGCGCTCCAAGCTTCCTCTTCTTGGGGTGTCAGACTTTGCAGAGCTGGATGCTGAGAGATGCTCTGCGCGTTGGTGTGTGTGTGTGGTGGGTTTTTTTTGCTTTTTTTCCTTCCTCCTCCTCCTCTCCTTGCACGTTGATGTGCACCACCATTTCGTGGCAAAATCCGACTTGGGCAGCGGCTCGCGGTGCCCAATGGAAAGCCCTTCTTCCTTCTCCTGACTCAACCCTCCCCCCCCCCTCCCCAAGCTGTTTCTGTGCGCAAAAAAGGAAAAAAAAAACCCGAGGAGGGAGGTGTTGGTGTCTCTGTTTGAGTGAGCCATATGCTGGGCGATGCAAAAGGGGTTTGGTGCAGAGAAGCCCCGGAATCGGGGTGGGGGACTGGGCCGGATTTTGCCTCTGCTGCTGGGGGGACCGCAAGAGAGAGGATTGGCCTCCCCTCCCCTCCCCAGGAAATGGAGGGATGGTTTGTTAAAAGACTGAAGGAAATCCTTTCCCAGACATGGGCAGAATCATTTGGCTGGATTGGTGTTGGGAAATTCCACCACACCTTGCTCTTTCGAGCAATGTTTTTTGTTGGGGGGGGGGGGAGCCTTCCATTGCCTAGAAGCTGAAATGGCCCCCTAAAGGACTTCCCTTGGCAGCCCCAGGGTGGTTGCATTGGTCTGAGGTTCGCCTAACCTTCTCCGTTGTCTGGTTTTGATCCTCTTTCTGCCGACTTGACTGGCAAGTTTGTTTTGAGCCAATTAAGACGAACCCATCCTGCACGCTGGGGTGGGTGGCAAAGGAGATCTCTCCATGCAGAATAACTCATCCGAATCTCAGTCTTTCCAACAGCCTCTTGCTTAATGGCTCTTGAAAGTCTCCTAATGAATGCTTAAAAGTGTGTGTAGAGATGGCAATGCTTTGCGGTGGACATTCAGGGGAAAAAAGGTTGAAATCTGTGCTTGTTATTCCTTTGCCTCGTTTTCGAAAGGTGAGCTCAGGGGTGTTGCCAGCAGTACCTAGGTGTGTGCCTTATAAAATACCCCACTGGCTTGTCTTGGCTGCAAATAAATGTACGTGTGTTAGTTCCCAGTGTGCATTAAAGGTCCTTGGAGTAATCTTTCCTTAATGCTAAGATGGGATGTTGGCTCAGGAGACGCTGGTTGCATTGTCTGGTATAGTGAAATGTCCTTGGTTCACAGTGGACGATGATTGTTTTGTAAAAACTGCTCTTGAATAACTCAGCCTGTGCTTTGGTGCATGAGACATGGTGAATGCTGTCACTGAAAGAACTGGTCTCTCTCTCTCCCCCCCCCCCCATTCCCGGTGCTGCATCTTCTGTCTATTTATTGGAGACATAGACGTGCCCAGCTTGAACAGGGCACCAAGAAAAGCTGACTTATTTGGCAGTTTGAGTTCTGATGTTCCAGGGCAAGATGCTTAGATCTGTTCCACCCTGTGAGAGCCAGGAACATTGATAACAGAGGCCTCTGAGCTGAGCAGATATTGGTTCTCCCAGGGAAGGTGGCTGTGAAAGGGAATAGCATAAATTCATGGAAAATAGGTTCGTCAGTGGTTAGGAGCCATGATGGATAAGTGGAACCTCCATGTTCAGAGACAGTGTACCTCACACTACCAGTTTTAGGGGCAACAAGAGGGACAAGCTTATAGACATCCCAGGGCATCTGATTGGCCACAAGACATTGGGGTCTGCTCTTGCATCCTTATGAGACACAGGGAAGAGGATTGATACTTACATTTACATATTTACATATTTAAGCATGTGCTTATAAGGGAGTTGTCTGCTCGAAGAACGTTCAGGATGTTAGGCACAGGGAAATCTGAGGTTTGGTCTTTGTTGGTCATCATACATTGACCACTGTATATTAACTGCATTTTCCAGTTATGTACTTTATGGCGACTTTGCAGCAGTTTTGCAGCAGTGTAATTCAGCTAGAGACGCACTGCTTATAGGCAGTGGCTGTTTTCATCTGTAGCACATGGGAGAAGCTAGGCCAAAGAACAAGACCAGGAGTAAGATAAGGTTTCGTTCTTGATTGTACCACTGTGAGTTTTGTCTTGGTTCTCTAAGGCAGATATTTCTAAATAATCGTGGGGTTATCTCACCTTGTGCCTGCTGTTCCCACAACATGATAGCGCCGGTGCCCTGGGAGAAATGTTTGGATTGGCCAGGAAGTGAAGATCTGGTTGTTTTAGCTGATTCTTACGCTTGTCTTGGGTGGAGATGGATGGAAGTTTCATGTAAACTGGAAATATCAATTGTTTGCGCTGTGATTTTTTTAATATAATTTTTATGAGTGTTTTTTTTTGCTTATAAGGATTGTTGCACAGTGCTGTCGAGTACTCTGATAGGGTTGCACAAGGTATTAATAAATAGTAGCAATAACAATAAACTCTAAAGGATCTCAGGAGCCAAGGCTGGGAAAGACCATTGAGAACTGACTGTTGCCAGGCTAGTCAATTTAAGGCAGCTGTTTATTTGAATACACAGGGCAAGGAAGACTTGGTTGTGTGCAATGCTCCCTTTAAGCTGTGGAGTCCTGTGAGCAAAAATTCTACTCTGTGAGCTACTGGCATTAAAGTTGTGAGCGAGCAATTTGGCTACTGTATCAATCAGTTTGCGCTGGAGCCCTCCTTCCTGAGCGAAGACACAAATGTGTGAGCTGGAGGCTAAAAAACTGTGAGTTAGCTCACACTGACTCCGCTTAGAGGAAACACTGGTTGTGTGAATGAGCCCCTATGGCGCCAAGATTAAGGAATAATGAACATGACTCACTGAGTGTATATATGGGTAATATTTTGAATTGGTGCCTCCCCTCCCTGTTTTGTTTTTGGGAGCCATTGATGTGGAGGAATATACATGGAGTCCACAACACTGTTCGACACATCTCTGAAAACTGGTGGAGATGCTACACAATAAACAATTGCATTTTTATCCTACCCTTCCTTCAAGGAATTTAGAGTTCTTCCTTTGACCGTTTCGTGCTCCCAACAACCTTGTGATAGGTAGGTAAGGATCAGAAAAGACAGTGACTGGCACAGGGGCAAGGCTCCCTCTAAGCTGTGGAGTCTTGGTGAGCAAAAATTGTACTTTGTGAGCTATTGGCATTAAAGTTGTGAGTGAGTGATTTGGCTACTGCATAAATTAGTTTGCTCTGGAGCCCATCCTTCCTTCTAAGCGAAGACAAACGTGTGAGGCGGAAGCTAAAAAACTGTGAGCTAGCTGAGCCTAGCTCACACTAACTCAGCTTAGAGGGAACACTGGCACAGGGTCATCTAGTAAATTTCATGGCAGAGTAGGAATTTGAACCCAGATATCCCTGAGCCTAGTCCAGAGCCCACATCTCAAGCTTCCTGGTCCAGGAAAAAATGTCTGGTACTTGATGGCTGTGGGAATGAGCCCCAGAGCAGATAAATATAATTGACGGTTGTGGGAATGAGCCCGAGAACAGATAAATATGATATTTAAAAGCACATTTTCTTCCCCTTCCTCTAAGAACTCTGAAACAGTGCCAGGGCATTTCTAAACATGGAGAGAGGCTTTACATCTTGAAGTTCAGTGAAATATAATATTCTTTCCTATTGTAAAATGTACCATTATTATTAATTTGTACCAAGAATGAGCCGTGTTGATCTTTCTGCTGTGACGGAAGAAGACTTTTGTTTTTAAAATAACAATCTTGCATTTTCAGAAGTACAATCAATCTAGCATTCCGGCACGCCTGACAGTTAGAATGCTTTCTCCCCTTCTCTTAAGTCATAGCTTACTTCAAAACGTTAACTGTTTGGCGCAAACAGCCGTGCCTTTGTAGCTGGCTGAAGGGGAGTTCTGGATCACACTACTATTCTATGGGTAAACAACTTTTAATCATAAAAGAGCCAAAGTATGTCCAAATTCAGAACGAGATTGACCGCCCCCAAAAGTCCATTTGCCCAGCGGAAACTGTATAATTTGACATTACAGATAATTGACATGTTGACTAATAATCCTTAAAATTCTGTAGCACTAATGAGTCCTTTGTTAGAAAGGAGCACACAGGAGGTCTCTCAATAAGTAATAAATAGACAAGGGAACACGTTGCGCAGTTGTTTCAATGCACTGGCATAAATTGGCAGATGATTTGCCACTTGGATTACCGGCAACTGTTCACCTCTCTCATTTCCCTTTTCTGTAAAGCACCTCTAAGATACCATTTAGTCCCACCAAAATCTTTGCCTGCGTTTCCCATACCTTAATGGTTATTCTAGCATCCCACCTGCCCATCCAGAATTCCTTAACGTAAAGGTTTTGTTTTCTTGTTTTCAAGAACTATTTTTGATTCTGTACTGAGCCGTAGTTGGCTCCAGGGCGATGGGCTGTTGACCTCTGTACTATACCCAAACTCTCTCTGTGTGTTTTTGCCTGTGTAGTGCTAAAATAATGCAGACTATCGACTCTGTTTGCCTCTCGTCTTGAAATCTCCTGGAAGAGTCCAGGGGTGGATCTACTACAAAACTAATGAAGCTGAAGCTTCAGGGCCCCTAATCCTGGAGCAAGTTTTTTTACGCTAGTTTGGTGTAGTGGCTGAGTGCGCGGACTCTAGAGAGCCAGTTTGGTGCAGTGGTTAAGCGCGTGGACTCTGATCTGGGAGAACCGGGTTTGTTTCCCCACTCCTCCACTTGCAGCTGCTGGATGACTTTGGGCAAGCCATAGCTCTATTAGAGCTGTCCTTGAAAAGAGCAGTTTCTGTCAGAGCTCTCTCAGCCCCACCTACCTCACAGGGTGTCTGTTGTGGGGAGGGGAAGGGAAAGGAGTTTGTAAGCCGCTCTGAGACGCCAAGTGAAGGGCGGGGTATAAATCCAATCTCCTCCTCCTCTTCTTCAAAATTGATGGAGTTTTTTTCCCAAGT